AAATTGTATTTTTGCTTACTATGTATATGCATGATATGCTGCATATATGCATGCATGTATACATATTATATTTAGTATGATTAAAATTTATTATTGCTTCATAATATTAAAAATACAAGAAATTTTTTAAAAAAATTTAGTTATATATAAAAAACTCTTAATTTTTATACACTACTATATAAATGTTAACTCATTAGTTCTTTTAAAACTAGCTTATATAATCTCAAATTAGCGCTCATAACATCTGAATTACTATGTATTCTAATATAGCACATACATAATTATTGTTGTGATAAAAATATACAATTGATATTTTATATTCATATACTCTATAAGTGCAATTCTTTATAATAATAAGTGCACACAATTTGATATTATTGAATATCCTATTAATGCACTTTATCCACCAAAAAAATGTAAATTTATAGAAAGTTAACTGTTTTAAATTTAAAATATTTTTTATTTCAAAATAGCGTATATGTACGTGTTCGAAATAATGTACAGATCAAATTAATTAGCACACTATTTTATGCTTGTACAGCAGTAAAAATCATATACTTAAGTTGAAAAAAAAATTTAAATTTACTCAAATTAATAAAAAATTTTGAACAAAATTCAGCTTTATATTTAATTAATACAGATTGTAAATATCAAATTTGTTATTAATAAAGCTAATAGACATAAAATCTTTATTATATATTTTTGTAAACCAAAAAATTTCGATAATAAATACTTAATAATTTTTTTTTTACCAGCATCTCTATTTAATAAGCTTCTCTTTTTAATTTTAATCAAATTAAAGAATACTTTCACTTATCTTTTTTAATTCAATTAAATGTTTATTCTTTTTGACTTCAATTTCAAATATTTATTTCTTTTAACTTATTACTATTTCTTATTTAGTAGATTGATAATAAATGCTTGTGTTTATTTTTTAAACCTAAATTTAAATTTCTATTTTAACAGATTAGTAAAAATATATTTTTTGTTAATTTTTATTAACAACTGATAATATTTACCTTTTAATTATATCTTCTATTTTAGCAAGTTTTAAAAATAAACACTTATTATTTCAACCTTAATTCTATCAATATTCTTTATTTCAACCTTAATTCTATTAACATTCCTTATTTTAACTTTAATTCTTCATTTTAACAAATTGATAAATGCTTTTTATATACTTTTAACTTTAATGCCTTTAGTGTTCTTTATTTTAACAAATTATTGATACTTTAAATTTGTTTTTTTGACTCTAATTCTATTTTTTACGCCTATATTTTCTTATTTATTCATCTTCGCTATTTATATCACTTTTAGTTAACAACTCTGCTTTTAATTTAGATAATTCTATATCTTCATCTTCTTCGTTACTTTCTATTAATTCATCTTCACTACTTTCATTGCTAGTATTAGGATCTAATAATTCGAATCTATGACTTTCACTAAATCTACTATTAAAATGTATTGTTGTTTCCATTATATCAGATGACTCAAATTTAGAGCATATAAGCTTATAGTTAGTATATATATATACTAGTTTTAGTGCTCATTGTGGTGTTAACTGATTTCGTTTTTTATTATATATATAGGAAAAATTTGATCAGTTTCTTTCCGAAGCTGCTGATAATGATGGAATTATAAGAATTCTTAATGCAACTTTACATAATTCAGATGCTGATGTTTCAAAATTCTTCTTCCACCAAGAAATAAGTCTACTTCATTTACTGTATTCCAAGCTAAA